TCCACAAAGCCAAAGCGTTAACAGATGACTTGAATCAACTCCAACAATTCCAAGTCGTCGTTCTCACCACCATGTCTTTAAAAGATCAACTCACAATCTCCGACTACTGCCACCATAATGGTATTTACCTGGTGATCGCTGACACATTTGGCCTTTTCGGTTACATCTTCACCGACTTCGGGAAGGACTTCACGGTGGGCGATGTCACCGGAGAGAACCCAATCAGCGGCATTGTGGCAGATATTGATGAGACTGGTCTGGTATCGGCTCTGGATGAGACGAGACATGGACTTGAAGACGGCGATTATGTTGAGTTCGCAGAAATCAGAGGAATGGAAGGTCTTAATGGAGCACCTCCTAGGAAGATCACCGTCAAAGGCCCGTACTCCTTCTCTATTGGCGATGTCTCGGGTCTGGGTAGATATGAAGGAGGCGGCCTTTTCGCTCAGGTCAAGATGCCGAAAGTCCTTCAATTCCAATCATTGTCGGAACAGATCAAGAAGCCAGAATTTCTCATATCCGACTTTGCAAAGTTTGACCGACCAGCAATGCTTCATGTTGGCATTCAAGCTCTCCATGCCTTCAAAGAGAAGACGGGTTCTCTACCCCGTCCACATAACGACAAAGACGCTAAGGAAGTCCTGGAAATCACCAAGAAATTGACAGCGGAGAGTGCCGAGGAGGTGGATATTGATGAGAAATTGATCAAGGAGTTGAGCTATCAGGCGCAGGGCGACCTAAGCCCCATGGCTGCCTTTTTTGGTGGTCTCACCGCGCAGGAAGTTCTGAAAGCGGTTTCTGGCAAGTTCACACCAATTGTGCAGTGGATGTACTTCGATTCTCTCGAGTCTCTACCTTCATCTGTGAACCGCAGCGAGGAGCTTTGCAAACCCACCGGTTCGCGGTATGATGGCCAAATCGCGGTTTTCGGCAAGGAGTTTCAAGAGAAAATCTCCAATGTGAAGAACTTCCTGGTTGGCGCTGGCGCCATTGGTTGTGAGATGCTCAAGAACTACGCTATGATTGGGCTAGGTACCGGCCCCAATGGTCACATTACTGTCACGGATAATGACTCCATCGAGAAGAGCAATCTCAACCGCCAATTTCTCTTTCGAGCCAAAGATGTTGGAAAACAGAAGAGCGAGGTTGCTGCTGCTGCAGCTCAGGCAATGAACCCCGACCTCAAAGGGAAGATCACGACAATGACGGACCGCATCGGCCCTGACACCGAAGACGTCTTCAACGAGGCGTTCTGGCATGGCCTTGATATCGTGACAAATGCCTTGGACAATGTCGAAGCTCGTACATATGTCGATCGGCGATGCGTGTTCTTCATGAAACCACTTCTGGAGAGTGGCACCCTTGGAACCAAAGGCAATACCCAGGTCATTCTTCCGCGCTTGACTGAGTCATACTCGAGCTCTCAAGACCCGCCTGAACAATCTTTCCCCATGTGCACACTTCGAAGCTTCCCCAACAAGATCGAACATACCATCGCGTGGGCTCGAGACCTATTCCAGTCCTATTTCGTGGGACCACCGGAGACCGTCAACCTCTACATGACACAGCCGGACTACATCAATACCACACTGAGACAGCAAGGTAACGAGAAGATGATCCTAGACAGTCTCAAAGAATTCTTGGTCACCGATAAGCCAAGCGACTTCAATGACTGCATTGCCTGGGCCCGGATGCAATTCCAAAAACAATTCCACAACGCCATTGCACAGTTGCTATATAACTTCCCCAAGGATTCGAAGACATCAACTGGGGCCGACTTCTGGTCTGGACCAAAGCGTGCTCCGACACCTCTCACCTTCGACCCTTCGGATGAGACACATATGGGATTCGTTGTCCATGGAGCAGCCCTCCACGCTTACAACTATGGCATACCTGTTCCTCAGCTCAAATACGAAGACTACGTTAAAGTGCTAGACAGCATGATCATACCCGAGTTCAAGCCAGACGCAAATGTGAAGATCCAGACGGACGAGAAGGAGCCAGACCCCAACGGGCCAGCACCGACGTTTGCGGATGATGCGGAAGAGCTGGACAAGATCGTGGCTGAGTTACCCACTCCCAAGAGTATGCCCGGGTTCCGACTCAATGTTGTGGAATTTGAGAAGGACGACGACACAAATCACCACATTGACTTCATCACTGCGGCGAGCAATCTCCGTGCCTTGAACTACAATATTCCGATTGCCGACCGTCACAAGACGAAGTTCATCGCCGGCAAGATTATTCCTGCTATCGCCACCACCACTGCCCTCATTACCGGACTGGTGGTCCTTGAGCTTTTCAAGGTAGTGGATGGCAAGACGGATCTTGAACAGTACAAGAACGGCTTCGTCAACCTGGCGTTACCGTTCTTTGGATTCAGTGAACCGATCGCCAGTCCCAAGGGCACGTACCAAGGCAAGGAGGGCCAAGTGACTATCGACAAGCTCTGGGATCGATTCGAGGTACATGACATTACCCTCACCGAATTTTTGGCCCATTTCGAGCGCCTTGGATTGAGCGTGACGATGGTCAGCTCGGGAGTCAGCTTGCTGTACGCCAGTTTCTACCCACCCAACAAGACCAAGGATCGCCTGCCCCTCAAGATGAGCCGATTGCTTGAGACCATCAGTCGTAAGCCGATCCCGGAGCACCAGAGGAACATCATCTTCGAGATTACTGCCGAGGACACGACCGAAGAAGATGTCGAGATTCCTTATGTGATGGTGAAGTACAAGGTAGATTGAAGGTGAAGTCGAAGCCGGCATGCTGCAACTCTGATGGCGCGTTGAAACGGCGTTTGGCAGCATTGGCGGAACTCCGATACTAGACCAAGGCTCTGGGGGGGGTAGATCGTGTTTCTCTCACCTCTGTACCACGACTGAGGAATATTTTGAAGGTGGGCGTGGTATACATACATTCAGCAACCGGAACAGAATGGATTGATCAGACATAGCCAACATGAAAACCCTTGGGCCGCTGTAGCCGGAAAGGGGAAGCCCCTATTGCCGCATTGTGTGTCACCAATGTGTGCCTCTTACTGCATCTTTAGTCAGGAAGCGTCGTTTAGTCATCCATGCCCCCTCCTTAGTGTCCCTCAGTGATGGCTGTGGTCGTTCGCGAAAAACCCCACCATTGTGTCATCGAAACTGTCGGCTTCCGTTCCGCATGTTGCCAATGGATTGAATACCTGGGCATGGCGCAACGAAATACAAAAGGTCCTTCCTCTTCCCTCTACCCATTCGGTTGCTCCAACTCAGTCGGTCCATGTCCAGCGTCCTTGCACGGGCTCGACTGCAGCTAGTCCATCTGACCACGAAATCGAAACCGCAAGCAACGCCTTCGCAGTCGGAATCCACCATGTCATCGGTACGGAGCAGCTCTCTTTTTGCAACCTCTATCCTCGTTCTTCTTGTGTCCATTGTCGCGGTTTACTATCTCGAACTGGGGCTGAACATAGACTTTCTGTCACAGGGCAAAGGAAGCATTACCGACTGGGTGAAGCCGGGCGACAGCTCGGGCGAGTTCAAGAGACAAGTTTCTTCCTTTCGGAATTGGATCTCGAACGATCCGAATGCTGAATTTCCTGCGGAGAAAGGAAGATACCATTTATATGTCAGCTATGCATGTCCTTGGGGTATGTGGGAACCCTAGTTTGAACGTGAAAGAGAATGGCATTGTTGACAAGGGACGAAACAGCACATCGAACACTCATCGTGAGGAAACTGAAGGGTTTGGAAGACATCATCCCTTTCACCAGCGTGCATTGGCATATGGCCGAGAAAGGTATGTCCTCTTCCGCGGGATATTATGGTATCTTCACACGCAGTTACCTGACCACATTGTCAAGGCTGGCGCTTCGCAACCCCCGACGAAAACGTCCCCGGCGAAAATGTCACTCCCGACCCTCTACACCCTGACAACACCCACCTTCGCGATCTGTACTTTGCTGCAAACCCGAATTATGAGGGTCGCTTCACTGTTCCCACCCTCTGGGACAAAAAGAAACAAACGATCGTGAACAACGAGTCCTCCGAGATCATCCGCATGTTCTACACTGCGTTCGACGACATCCTACCTGAAAAATACAAAAACGTCGTGCTTTACCCGGATGATCTGAAAGACAAGATCGAGGAGGTGAACAAATGGACCTACGACGACATCAACAACGGCGTCTACAAGTCCGGCTTTGCGACCACCCAAGAAGCCTACGAACGCAACGTCCTCCAACTGTTCAAATCGCTCGACCGCACCGAATCCATCCTCGCCGAATCCTCCTCCCAAGGGCCCTACTACTTCGGCTCTCAACTTACAGAGGCCGATGTGCGGCTATATACCACGATTGTCCGCTTCGATCCGGTCTACGTGCAGCATTTCAAGTGCAATATCAAGGACATCCGAAGCGGATACCCGAATATCCATCGATGGTTGAGGCACTTGTATTGGAATATCCCGGCGTTTGGGGAGACGACGCAGTTCGAACATATCAAGAAGCATTATACCAAAAGCCACAAGCAGATTAATCCGTTTGGAATCACCCCGGTCGGGCCCGTGCCGGATATTTTGAAGGAAGAGGACGAGGTTGGTGCTGTGAAGAAGTAGACCGGGCTGACTGAGTGGGACGAGCTGAAAAAGCAAGCACAGAGCGCGAGATGGTAACGTCCATTGAACGTAGCTATCTTTATGGACGGGGTCGCTGGAAAGATCAAATGTTTGACAGCCCGAGCAACTCCTTTATCGATTTAATAGTTAAACGCCGGTTCGCATTCGCGACTCTGAACAGCCTCCTGCTCGCAAGAGTCTTCTTGGCTCGAAATATTTGCACTATTCCCAGCAATGTCGTTGAATCTTGACCGACTCCAGGAATGGTCCCCCTCTTACATGGCCTGTTTTCCGACGAGCCCTTCCGACAGTGGGACACATGACACAATTTCTATGCATTTCCCGCCCACCCGTTTATTCCCCCGCCAGGTTGCCCGTATACTCCATCCATCTCTATCTCAACTCCCCAATGCAGCCTCGACCCCATCGGCAATGACGCCAGGATTACTACTATTCCGACCATCGATTTTGCGCTTCCAATTCTCTACCTCGACGACGGCGCTGACGACGACCTGTTCAAAGAGCTCCTTGTCCAGCCCCTGTCTCCAGGTCTCGATCTTCCCGCTGCGCAGCTTGCCGTACAGGACGACGGTGCAGACCACCGCGCCCGTGCGGTCCGTGCACTTGAGATCGGCCTGTTTTTCATCCCCCCGGGTGACGGTCCAGAACAGCCTGCCGAGGCTGGTGGTCGTCGCGGCAGCGCCTGTGCCTCCTGCTGAGCCCCCGGTGGGTTCGAAGCTGTTCTTGTACGTGATTTGGCGGCTCGTAGCCGAGAAGGTCAGGTCGATTTTGCCGGACCAGGTGTGCCAGTTTACCGTGGCCACTTGGGAGCCGGAAGTGGTGGCGATGAGGGTGATGTCCAAGCCCGAGGAGTAGATCAGCGGCCGGTTGTAGGTAACTATATTTGTCGGGGTGGTGGAACCCAGGGGCGTCAGCGAGCGGATATGTTTTTGAGGGGTGGGCTGGAAAAGGAGTATGTAGGGTCTGCCTAGTTGTTGTTGAGGAGGAGGAGGTAGCTGTTGAGCCGACGGGGGAGCATATTGATACTCTTGAGCTAGGGAAGGGAGGCCTTCCGGAGGAGGGTATTGTGGTGGAGGATAGTGTGGTTGACCAGTCGGATAATCTTGAGACGGATACCGCTGCGACTGTAGTGGCAATTGATGATATGGACTTGGTGCTCGAGGCTTGCTGGTCTGCTTCCTCCTTGACTGGGCGGATAGAGCTGCGGTTGCGGAGCGTATTGACCGGGCAGATATGGCGAAGCCTGGCCGTACGGATATTGTTGCGGCATTGTTGGTGCCCCTTCTCTTGACTCTTCTCTTCACTTCTCCCCTGGCTTGTTCCACCCTTTTCCTTTTTCTCTTTCCCCGAAGAACATGCGTCTTTTAACTCACGAATCTCAGGCCCACGTGTAGTCCGACAAACCAAGGAGGGAAGAAAGCGCGTTGTCTCGTCTCTGGTAAATAAGAGAGAGGGCGCAGCGTTAAACGACAGGCCTGCTTACTTACAGAGGTAGCTTTTGTACGGGTATATCCAATAGCAAACCCACTCTTAACTTACCGTTCCAGAAACCACTTACATACAGGTTGCAGCTACTGCAGCTGTCGATAGAGGCCTCGGCCACTCTTCTATTTCATACCCAAACCCAGTGCAGGCGAGAAATTACCAGATCTGGTAAATGCAATAGTATTAGTAGAGGATGAAGGGGCGCGCCGGGGGAGGCCCAATGTCCCTGTACAGGAATATTGGCATATACTGATATGCGGGTACTCGGTTCTGAACTCGTTCTCAATTGCTCACAATAGCAAGAGGGATTAATCTACTCAGTACATAACACAATACAAAACATGGCGCACTAATTTTTTTTTTCAAAACTCAGGGGGTCAGGCTAGTGAGGCTGTCAATTAAAGGAGCGAAGCCTTGCTAAAAGCAGCGGGGGCTTCTCCCTTGCACAGAACGACGCACACCCAGCGGAAGACTTGGGCCTCCAAGGCATCGACGCGGTCTTCATCAAGAAAGCAATCATCACCCTTCCCATCTACTTTGACAATGAGTCTTCTATTTTGCAATCTTAATTCTTCCCACTTACAGAGCACATTGGTCTCGTCAGGGGTTTCCGGCCACCAGGATGAGCTGTAGCTGTTACAAAGTAACACAGTATATAAAGCCCGAGACCGAGTCTTCCACAATCGGCTCGACACTGAAAGCTACTTTATATGCGGTGAAGGTTTCGCCTATTGAGGTTCACTGTAAGGTGCCTAGTAGCTTGCCATCACAACTTGCTCTCCCCTCCCTTACAAACATCGCCATGATGAACCGATCATCGATCTGCCATCAATCATCAATCATCAATCATTGCCTTTCCTCGTAATGTAACAAATTGCGTCCGGCACAAGCCTTCAAGTCCAACCCACACCTAACCGTTGCGATTTTCTCAATTCTTGCAATGGTGAGCACCATCCAATTTTCGCCCTTCTTCACGATCGGATCACACTTGATGTTTTCCAGAAGTGTGTCATCTTGGCCACCGTCGTATCCTGAAGCATTTGGGATGCAAAACTGCCTCCCTCAGTTGGAAAAAGTTGGAAAAAGTTGAAAGGGTCTTTTTTTCCCGGGCGATCGGAAGCCGCTCTAGTGCGCGAAGGTTTCTGAACTGAATTAGAAGGTGAAGGGAGTTCCGGGTCAGGTGTTGTCGTGAGACCATGATTTCCACTCCAGGGAGGAGCGCTGTAGGGTTCTTTGCGAGGCCTTGAAGGTCTACCTTGTTGATTCCCTTGTACATGCCATGACCAGCGAGCTGGCTTTGCGACGGCTCAGGTTTGTGACATCGCTGGGTGTCACAGGGAATGGATAGAGATATGCTGAAGCCCAATTCTCCGTCCCTCCTCCCCCTTCCACGGAGGGAATCAACAAGAAATCCCAACGCTTGCGTCTCGCTAGATCGTTGTTTCCGGAGCAAAGAATATATTGCTTTTAATCTCTCCGCCTTCTTCCATATTAATAGGCCGCTACCGTTAAGAGCCATTCATTCCGGCCACCGATTCTCCTGTTTCTCCCCGAGCCTTATCATACCATATATGATCGCTTGTTGGTCGTATGCTTTTGTCCGTCACTGTCTCCACTTGATAGGTTGATTGATTAGTTAGTTTTCTCCTTGCATTTGTATTTGCAAATGCGGGATGTTCATACCAACCAATCATCGACAACCCCGGGTATACATATCTGAGGGAATATGGCTATGATACAGGGGCTCTTCCACTATTCAGGAAAACATGCTCCAACCACAAGGTCCGAATGCTACGGGGTTCTGAGGCAGTGCCTCATGGATTGCTCTAGCTTCAAAGCCATACATGCTTAGGACTAACAGATTGATAGCTCTTTCTTAGTTGCATGGGTGGCGGTGCATGGTCGTTCTTCGCTGGTGGCGTAGTTAGGGGGTAATTTCGTTGTGTCTAACCAGACGGCTACCTGTTCGCGTCTCCGGCAGTGGAGTGGTGGTTTGTAATGGCTCCTTGAACAGTCTCGTCTGCGTTGTGCCTTTCGATTCTCTTCTTGTTGGCCGCCCTGTCAGCGAGATATGTAGGGTCTGATTTCGCTTTTGCCTGGCAAAGTGCCCACTGGGGAGCATAGTTTGTATGTTCCTCTTTGGCGGTCGTAGGAAACTCTAGAGCTGAGATGTGCAACCCCACTTTCATCATATTGGTAATCTTGGTTATCTCAGCGACCGTCGGCAATGTCGACGTGAGAGGTACTAAATCTGGGAGACCCGCCTTCGCCAACTGTTGTCCTTTCGCTGAATGTGGCAACATCATGTCTTTTTCTTTGGCTACCTCTTCTAGGGAAGGCAGACGACCATGTTCGATTGTAAAACAGATCATGGTGACAGCCGTCTGCATTCTCTCCAAGAGGCCTTTGCCAATGACGGGCTTATACCGGATACAAAGATCTCCAATAAGCAATGTGTCGAGCATGTCCCAGCATTCTTGGTTGAGAAAAGCGCTCACAACATATGAATCCACAACAACCTCGTTCGCTTTGTCACTGCTTGCTCTCCTGGGGACTAAGAGGAGGCCCTTCGCCTCCGCATAAGGTACGTCATCCGAACAGTTTAGATGGGGCATGCCGTTGAAGGCAAATAATTCCCAAGACGATCCCAACTCGGGCACTCTCTCAGTCCCGTAGAAATACGGTTCTCTCCTCATGGCGATACACAGGGGAAGATTGCCTTTTCGGGCGATTTCCATTCTCCGGAGAGCGTACCATACATGGGCCAGCTCATGCACAAGAGTGATGGCGAGACTGACTAACATCAGGTCCTTGACATCATCTTCGAATGTGTCATAGTGGAGGTGGGTGAAGAATGTCGCGAATTTTGAATTCAGCTAGACAGCAGTGGTTGCCATTTGTCGTTCGCAATTCTTTGGATATACCCCGAAATAAGTTGATGCATATACGTCTGTACGGCTATCCGGGTGGTAACCAGTGAAGAACTGGACATTGTGGAGGTCGTCCATCATATCTGGGAACGTCCGAGATCGGTGCTTCAATTTCTGGAGATAGTCATACACGATCTTCCCGTCCTCACAAAGATCTTTTCCTATGTCCCCAAATAAAAGGATGTTGAAGAATTCAGACGTGTACTTGCAAAACCGTGTTGCTAGCACAAGTGCGGACCGGATTCGGTCATAGAATAAGTCTGAAATAGTCAATTTAGGATCAAGCCAGGCATCGACGGGTCGATCGAGGCCCCTAATTATGTCTAGTCGGCTGAAGTTGCACCTGCTGAAGGTTTTGTAAATCTTGCCACCTGGATCTGGGGTCGAAGGCGCGTGGCATATGTTCTCATGTCTCGCAGAAAAGGCCTGTTGCCATGATTTTAGATCTGGGTCTGGGAAGAGATCTCGGTCAGAAAATGAATCCGCGTCTGTAACAGTTGCTGGACTCATGGAGTTGGGGTCTTCCAGCTACTTTTCCCAAGGATCAAAGGCTCTGGTGAAAGTCTGGTTGATGTTGTTGGTTTGCCGAAAGGCTGTCCGTACAGTCACGAGTCCCAGGGTGACAGCATCAAATGCCGGACATTGCAGAAGCCGTGAAGAAAACAGATTTCGAGCGCCACAGGTGTCCGAAGGATATAAGGAGAGACGTTTTCTCCGATATTGCAAAGATCGGGAGTTGAGTCAAACGTCGTAACGCCGTTTATACCGTTTATTTAATGAGTGACTGCGCGAGGTAATCGAAGGTGACAGACGGATTTCTGTCGGGGGGCTGGTTTTGTGCGAGAGGTGAAATTCGAGCATGGTGAATATACATATATATGCGGTCGCGGAATGAACCAGGAATAAAGGCAGTATGGTGTTCCAGTGACCTTCCACGAGGACGACTGGGTATTTCGTATTCCATGTAGAGCACCATGTCGTGATTGGGTACCCAGGACATTCGAAGGTCTATCAATACCTGACTTTTGAGATCTTCCAGATTGACCCACTCGACGCCACACAGCCGACATTTCGGAGGGAGTGACCGAGGGAGATCCTGGAGTCGGCAGCCGGTCGGCTGCGGGGGTGCCCGCGCACTCAGCAAAGAGTCTTGATCTTAATTTTCTTTTCAGCACCAAGAGAAGTCAAAGTGCAACTCCAAGTTCTCCCAAGTTTCTTCCCCATCGTCAGTCAGGAATGGTCCTTTGCCAGAACGACAGCAAGCCATCCTGTCCTCAGAGGCTGCCAGGTCGCGCCTTTCTTCAAAGGGTGATCTCAACAACATGACGGGACGCTATGGTATCAAAAGATGAGAAATCAGTGTCGACCCCCTCCAGAGAGAGGGGAACGATGACCCTCTAGTTTCGCTGAAGAGGAATCATGCTTGACATGGTGAATGTGCCTCGTATCGTTGGGGAAAAAAAAAGTCGAAACGGTGCGCAGAGAATTCACTTCGACAGTCGCAACACTGAAACGAGAAGTAAAGAGCCGAGTTTTCTCTCTACGGGAAAACGGCAGTGTCTGACAGACGATTCGTTGCGGTCAAATCGTTCGCAAGATGGTCATTTTCGCACCCAGGCCGAGCGGTTGCAAGGAGGTAATAATGGTGTGATCGAACATGAAGACAGCACAAAGAGCTGTCCCGGACATATATAAAACAAGGGACGTAAGATCTCCGATTTCCCTTGAACAATCCAACTTTGACTCCGCACTGCGAGCATGGCTTTGTCTGACCAACGTCCCGAGACGGCCTTAAACTGCGCGTTAACAGGGTGCCCATCTCTTCTTCGACGGCTGATGCCATCACGTTAAGCTTGCCCGCTGCTGTCGCTAGACTTCTTGATGGCAGCTTCCTCGTCGTCCCCGGGTGGAGCGGTTTCGGTTTCAGCTTTGTCGCCTTTCCGGGATGCGGGTTTCGCTCTGATATCTTTCCATTCAACGCCAAAAGCAAGCACAAACGCCACGATGGCCGATGCTAGCGAAGCATACTATTCAGTCACATGTTAGCTGATGCCTTGTTTGCATAGACAATGTTGTTGATTTATGGTGCAATATATGTAACCTACAAAGACATTCGTGATTGCTTTGTTGTATGCCCAGAGTACAGGCCCTAGCTTCTCTGGGAATGAGCTCAATGTCGTCTTCCGAGCATGGCCTGATCCGGCATTCAATAATTGCTGCACTTGCTCGTTATTAAGACCCGCACGCTGCTTGAGTGACTTCACAAGCTGGTTCTGAAATATCGCCAGGGCAATGCTCTGAAACACAGAAGCTCCGAAGTACTGGAAGAACGCCACGGTCGAAATGCCGACAGGAATCTGTTGGGGTTTTGTAGCCAGGGAGGCTTGGACTGCGAGGAGTGGTCCTTGCATAGCAACTCCGCTCATGCCTTGGAAGACTAGGTATGTGATCCATTTTGCGTGGGGCGTTGAAGTGGTGAGGGTAGTGTAGAGCCCTGCCGCAATCGCCATGAAGCCGACACCGACGAATAACCAAGGGTTATAGTAGCCAGTACGATTGACTGAATGGCAAAATCAGCTCTAATGGCCGAAATCAGATCTCAACGTTCGGTAGATTGACTTACTGATTAATCCTGAAATGGTAGCAGCGATAATCTGAGTGCAGACCACCGGGAGAGTCATGACGCCGCTATGGAGTGGACTGACTCCCTTGATCACCTGGAACCATTCAGGCATGTAGTAAATGTTGATAATATAAGCGCCAAACATGAAGGTGCTAAAGAGACAACTCAGCAAAATCGAACGGTGGAAGACGATCGAGAACGGGATCATGGCATCGTCGCCTTTGTGATACTCCCACATGAGGAAGACCGTCGCAGATCCAGCGAAGCCGCACAGCAGCCCTATCACCGTGGCCGACGTCCAAGGCCACTGGTGGCCACCCCATTGTAGTGCCAGAAGAATCATGACGATGGTCGGGATGAAAATTGCGCACCCAACGATGTCAATTTGCAGGATCTTCTGCCCCAGGGGTGTTTTGTCGGAAGCTCGTATCGGTGGGTGGAATAACAAGGCCAACGCGGCTAGTGTTACCACCCCCACGGGAAGATTGATGTAGAAGCACCATCTCCACGATACCTTTGTCGTCAAGGCCCCTCCAATGATTGGACCGGTGATTGTTGCGACTCCGAACAGAGAAGAGAGGGCGGCAGTATAGAGGGCACGTTTGGAGAGCGGGGTCACAATCGCGAGGATGGACAAACTGCCAGAGAATATCCCTGCTGCCCCAGTCCCAGCAACAGCTCGGCCAAGGATGAACATATTAGAGGTGACGGCTGCACCACAGAGCAGTGAGCCTAGAAGGAAGACGCCGACAAAGACGAAGAAGGTCCATTTGAGGGAAAACGTTGCATACAGCTTTCCTGACAGAGGCTGCAGGGAGCACAGGCACAGAGGGTAAGCTGCTCCATACCAGCCGATGTCCGTGGTAGCGTTGAATTGCACTGTGATTGCCGGGATAGCCTGAGCCGCAAGTTAGCTGTGAGGAGAGATATATATTGGCGGAGTGTGGGACGCACTGTAGAAATGACTGCGATGTCCAGAGCAAACAAGTAGATGGCAAGACCAAGACCACCGAGAACAAGGTAAAGTCTTGAGCCAGTCAGATGGTGAGCAGTCTCCGAGTACTTGCTGATCGAATCCTGGCTTTTCGAGATGGTGCCAACGTTCTCAGTGATTGAAACTGACATAGTGGTGTCTCCCTCTACTCTTTCAGGCGGGACCATGTCGTTGCCTGAGCCGCTGCCCACTTGCTCGTCAAGTCCTAGAAGAATAGCAGCCACGAGGGCAAGATCGAAAGGGGATCCTAATAGACAAAGGAGGCTTTGTTGCCATTTTCAAGGAAGCAGAAATGAAAGGTCGAGGTCAAGATATAGGAGGGTTGAGGCTCCCCTGACCGCAGCCCTCTCGAGCATTGCACAGGCAACAATCTCGGGCACAAGCGGCGATAAGACAGACCGGAGAAGAAGTGGACGCCATCTCCTTTTCAGACATCGATATGACTGGAACAAAGTAGGTGTCGCAGAATTGAGGAGTCGAAGGACAAGGCGGACAAAGGAAGACGAGGTGAAGTACGGAGGACGGAGTACCTCGTATGAAAGAAATGTGATACGAGAGAAAGGAGACGGCAACGGACAAAAGGTGGCCCGGTCGTGTATGTCGTTTGATTGGTTAGGCCATGATTAGAGGCTGCACGTGATGCTGCACGTGAGAGGACATTCCGCCTCGAACGGAGATATTCAACTCCTTTCCCGTTCCCTCTGTTGCCAAATGCATTTCCCTCGACATTTCTGTCACCGTTCGCCCCTGTACCACCAGTGACTCCAGACCGGAGCGGCAATGAACGGGGTCGGCAATTCTGGAGCAAGACGGAAGGCCTGTGTTCGATGCGTCAAGGCCAAAGCGAAATGTTCCTTCAGTGGCGGGCAAGGTGTCTGTGACCGTTGTCGCAGGCTGAGACGGGATTGTATGCTCGAAGAAGCTCCCCGACGCCAGAAAGAGAAGCAATCGACGTATGAATGCCCGCAAAGAAACCGACCCCGATCTCCTTCCCTTTTCATCTTACGCACGGGGGGCTAGGTCTGGTCTAACCGAGCAATAGGAGAATCAAAGCACTCGAAGAAAAGGTCAACGATCTTCTGACATTGCTCACTCCTGACAAGAATGTTCTTGGAGATACGAATGTTACAACCATAACTACTACGTCAGCCCCACTGGAACAAGTCAACAGTGACAATGTCTCGTTCGCCTCGGCCACGAAGGCGCACAGCACCAAGACCTCTGCACCATCAACCGCTGAAGAGAACCGACAATTCGATGTGATCGATAGGGGTGTGCTGACAATGGCAACGGCCGATACCCTCTTGAAGAATTATCAACAAGTTCACTCGCAGTTCTTTCCGTTCGTGATAGTTGCTCCAGAGATCGATGCTGCTACTTTGCGGAGAGATGCCCCTGTTCTTTTCCTGGCTATCACGACGGCATGTCTCGAAGAAGACCATACGGTTCAAAGACGGCTTGGTGTCGAGCTGAAGAGGATGCTCTGCGAGCGAATCCTGATCAGAAACGAGAGGAACATCGAACTCTTACAAGCGCTGCTTGTTCACCTAAGCTGGATCCATTACCATTTCCATCCCATGAACAACAAGCAGTCATATATGCTTCTCCAAATGGCGATCGGCCTTGTCATGGACCTGGATCTTGACCGGTGCCCTGCGCATCGTGATCAGAGAGTGGGGAGTAATTTCTGCAAAATGAATCCAGAAGCGAAGTTGCCAACACAATGCCAGAGGACAACGGCTGAAACTCGCGCCCTTCTGGGTTGCTTTTACCTTTGTTCTTCGTAAGTACAACTCCTTGTATGGCCTTGACGAAGCCGGTCTCACCAAATCAAGCATGGCAATGACGCGCAAGGAACTCGTCATGAGGCATACCGAGTGGATCGAACACTGCTGTCATGTTCTTCAGGCCGCGCAGGAGACCGCCACGGACGCGTATGCAATAGCTTTCGTCAGCGCCAAACGCCTGACGCAACAGATTACCGAGAGATTCTCATACGGCGACCACACCTTCATCCGATTCCAGAGTGATGCTGTGATACAGATGTCCCTGAATGGTTTCAAGAAGGAAATTGCAGAGCTAGGAGCGAGCTCTTCATTCTCGTCCGCACAGGCAAATTGTGAGTGGACCGGATTTTTAAAGTGTCTCGCCTATTCCTACTCCCAGCACACATGAGAGGAAAGAGATTGCTAACGATGTGGGTACCGTTCAAAAAAGACGTGCTGATGGCTGAGTTGAGAGCTTTGCCAGTCGTAATGCACGAGGTCGCATTATATCGCGATCCGGCAATTGCATCGCAGTCGACGATTACCACCTCCCATCTCTGGGAGCTGTTGACCTCGACTCGATTCTTCTTGGACTATTTCCTGAGCGTACCGACAGACGCGCTGAGACATCTACCCGCCGCGTTCTTCAGCTTCTCCGCGTACGCGCTGATCATCCTGTCGACAATTGCGCGCCTTCCCTCAACAAGCGGATGGGACAGTTCGATGGCCAAACGCGAGGCGGACGTCCTGAACATCGCACAGCGTGTGAAAATCAAAGTCGGCGACGAGCTCACCCGGACGGGCCACAGCGTGAGCACAGAAGAGAAAGACGTCTGGGCATTCTTCGGACGAGGCATGGGCGGCTTGATGGCGTGGCACGAGAGGTGTGAGAAGGAGAGCGAAGGGACAGGAGCAGCAACAGGAGGTGGAGAGGGAGACTACGAGCTTCCAATCAGCCAGTCAGGTGTACCCTTGACGACAAGGTGTGCTGTGGCAGACATGATGACTCCGTTCAACGCATTGCGATTCCGCAAACCCGTCCATCCGAACACTGGTGGTGTTGCGACGAACGGGGCCCAAGGAGAGAATCCCAATGCTGCTTCAGGCGGAAGTGCATTCATCGGCGGCGGCGTGGGTGGTGGCGGCACTGGTGCCGCCGCTGATGCCCAGCCGACAGACATGGGGACCAGTTTCTGGGACGACGAGGTGTGGCAGTCCATTATAGATGAGTTTTCAATGTTCCCTACAACTGCCAGCTTCCCCACCGCACCAAGCGTGCAGCATCAGGTGGAAAGATTGCGTTGGTGAGCAAAGGGCTGCCCTACAACGGCAGACAAGATGCTGTACGGAGTGTCCCTGGGGTTAACTTCAAAGGTGCAATTCTGCACTACCTAGAAGGTTCTCTCGGTGTCTCGTCACCTGCTGAGCGGTTGTAGTGCATGAACAACTAAAGCTACAAAAGTGATTCGCAGTAGAGAATACCGGTCCATCACAGAGGAACGATCGCATAGTTCTTTTCACGGTCCAAGGCCTCAGCATCAGTATATCTCACCGCTTGTTCTCCAGTCACTTTCACTATATCATCTGTTGGCCCGCTCCTAGGATTTGCTAAGGCAAAATCAAGTACCTAGAAGGAGTTCGCAACCTCGATCGGGTTCAGCCTCACCTTGCACCCCAGCTCCCAGACACCCTAGTATGCCAGCACGACCAACAACACGCGCACCAGAGAAGATGCAACCGCACCAAAACATCCAGCCCAGTGGCGTCTGTATTCCTCGGTATTATACTGAGTTGCTGGCACGAAAACCCTGCTTGAATTTGAGTATGAACCCCATGGCTCATCTGCATCTGCCGACTCTGACGGTTGGATAAATCTTGTGCATTGAGGAAGGTCTGTGTGTTCACTCCAATCATAAGGTCGATATTGACCTCGTGGCTTGGCCCTAGTCTAATGTATGCGCTGGTAGAGCGTTGGAAGGGGATTCCATCGATGACTGCAAGCAGTTTGACGGTGGCCGCAAGGGCAGCAATGTTGAAATACTGCTACCAAAGGCCCAGGTGTGGTGTACATTGGCTATCGCCGCACCTTTCATTGCTCTTCTCCACCAGAATACAGCAATCCCCTTTGCCACTTCAATCGCAATGCAAACGCTAGCACCACTGTTGCATGTAGACAAGACGGTATTGGGAGCGATTTGCTTAGGCCACGAGGAGACGGGTGTGTCGTTGGATGCGACTAAAGTCATGGCCGCAACGACAGAAAGTACCGGCACCATCAGGAGACATCCGAAAACCAATCCATGGAAAGCGCTTCCAGAATCCTAGCAACCATTTCTCGGTGGGTATAAAACGTAGATCCTGGCCAGAGTCGTTGCCGCGGCTGCTCAGCGAAGGACTGACTTCGACAGCAGAGATTCCAATAGCGACTTCATTCTCGTTGTCGACTGGAGACATTGTAAAAGACCCGGTGCATCAGTAACCCAACACCGGATACAGATGACGCTATGCTATTTGAAAGAGAAGATACGTTGACCTGCCTAGGGAGTCTCCATGATTTGATATCCAAAGGACGAGGGCGACTCGGCCTCATCTCCTCCAGATTTGGGCCATTGACCCCTTTCCGATTCCTGACCGACAAGGCTTCATCGCAGCTGGCTGCTCAATGGGCACGATATCACCAATTAAAGACCACGGCAAACAGGCTCAGGCCAGACTGATTTAGAGGACTGCCAATCGCAATAGCAGTTGATGGGAAGGCGCTCGCTTTTCGCAACTGTAAATTGGCCACGTGTGGATCGCGTGGTCCAAATAGTCCGCCTTTGAAGACTCTGAGGGCTTGATGGTTTGCGATCGAAAGAGCAGACCCCGAGGTGTATCAGTATACGTTCCTGTGCAAAACGCAACAGGCATGCTGATTGAGTGAGGAGAGCAGAATTAATGAGGGAGTTCAGCCAGTGGCTTCATCCTTCAGCTGAGCCTCAGCTACACCAGCGCAATAGTTCTACATCCAGGGCCATTCAGAGTCGGCACTCGTGGCATTGGCTGGTGACTCTGAATAACAAGCGCCACCGTTCCTGCTTTCATTTCCATCAAAGTCACGGCCCATAGAGCGCTTCGGCGTCACCGGATGTCGCGTATCAAAATCCAGAAGGTAGCAATGAACATTTTGGTCGCAATTGACAACCCAACTCCAGAAATGCAACCCTGCAAACGATTGTCCAAAGGCGGTACTGGGACACCTTGCAGCGCTGACTCGTCCAGGACCTCTATCCCAAAAGAGAGCACACAGGGTTGGTCTCGTCCCATGTTTATCTGTCTTGACCATTGAACTCTACCAGATGCCGAACAATATCAAAAATCTCACCATTGTCCTCTCCTTCAACGCCCGCCCGCCCGGCAGGAGAATCGATTCTCCTCCTCAATTCATCATCCAACAATGCCCGTAACCTCGAAGCCAGAACACCAATCCTAGCCCACCCTCTCAACCTCAACCATCCATCGACTATAACCCCTCGTCCCGTTATATCGACCTCAATTGGTCCACCAAACAGCAACAGTCCATATGGGTTCAACGGCGTCAAATCTCGAATGAACGTCTTGCTCGTTTCCATCTTGGCAAAGTAACTCACAAAGTTTGCGTTGCCAGAGAAACCTTGAGCGTCGAAGAGAACACTGCTCGGGTGCACAAACACCCTCCCGTTTTCCTCGTTGAAATATTTGATCGTTTTGGCGTCTGGGTCCAGTTCCTTTGCACCGCTCATGGATGCGATGTATTTCTTGTCAGGCATCTGGATGCGTGCGATTTGAGGGTTTAGTGCCCCTGCGACTATGGCGCGCAGGAGCATGATGTTGCTTTTCTGTCGGTTGTGAAGGGATGAATCGCTGTTGTAACTGGCTGCTAACAGGCCGGTTTCAATGAGGGAATCGAGAAGCTGTCGTCGGGTTGAGTCAATGTCGCGGAGAATGTGCTGGGACAACCATTTCGACGAGCACCAATTCCGCACTTCCCCGTATCGCGAGGTCGCAGATATCTCTTTCCACTGTTCGCATGCTCTGTAGTCGGCAATAAGGTCACCGTCTGAGGCGGAGAAGGACAATCTCGCCTCTTTTGCCTCATCTCTCTTGTCACGCGACGAGATAAACGGGCTCTTCGTTGCCAAGATGGCAGCAATTGTCAGACAGGGTTCCACACAATCAAATAAGACACCGTAGATGAGAAGTTTCGCGCAACGGAGGTCAGCAGGAACCATCGCCAAGTACTTCCCGAGACCGGTCAAGCGATCGTTCTCCAAAGCACCCATACGCTCCAGGGTCTTCAGTGCGGTGGCGACAGCTCGGCTGTCAGGTGGAGATATGGTGCTTGCCAGAAATTCTTCCACGCTGCGCGCTGAACCAGTCGCTTTGACCGAAAGACACAACTGCTCCAACGGCGTTCTAACCATTTCTGGTGCGGGAACGTTCGCCATGTTGGCTTCGACATTCCTAGTGAAGAGCTTGTAGCATTTCCCCGCCCGGACTCTGCCTGCTCTACCACGGCGCTGTTTACAAGCAGCCTGGGAAGCCCAGACCTCTTCAAGACGCACGATATTTGTGGCAGGATCGTAGTGAGTCTCCTTGACTTTGCCGGTGTCGACCACGGCTACAATGTCTTCAATGGTGATTGATGTCTCTGCAACGTTCGTGGCGACAACCACTTTTCGTTTTCCCGCTGGCGGCTGTCTGAACACCAATCGTTGCTCAGCAGGCGTAAGTGAAGCATGAAGCGGTAGACTATATATATTCGGCATGGCGGCCAGAGTCCTAAGACAACGATCGATTTCCAGGGTGCCTGGCATAAAGATGAGAATACCCCCGTTTGACCCGTCCAGCTGCAGGTCAATCTTTTGCACAAGAGAAGCGATCAGCTGGTAGTTGATTCCAATTCCAAGGCTTTGGATTGCTTTGCCAATATGAGGTTCGTCGTCTGACTCCTGCGGTGATTCTCTTTTCCCGTTTCCCACGAGCCGCACGACTTCATCTAGGTAATAGTCCTGGACTGGGTATGTACGCCCTTCGATGTGGACTCTGCCAACTCGATCGCCACCAAAGTATTCAACGAAAGTGTCAGCATTGAGTGTGGCGCTCATCAGTACAATCTTCAATTGGGATAGTGAAGGTAAGGCCTCGCGCAACAAGGCCAGAAGAAAGTCTGTATCAAGGGAGCGCTCATGGACTTCATCAATAAAGACGTGGCTGACATCCGCCAGGGCCGATTTAATGCTGGGAGAGCTCTGGAGACGACGGAGGAGGACGCCCGTGGTTTGGAATGTGATTCTGGTTCTTGAGGAGACCTTTGACTCTCCCCTAATGATATACCCCACCTCCTGACCTTCTTTGTCGCACCGCTCCGCGCTAACACGCTCCGACAAGGAGAGAGCAGCGACTCTCCTGGGCTGTGTACAAATGAGATTGACGGAAGAGCCTCGCATGTTCTCGATAGCGTTGTCCAGTATGAATTGGATTGCTTGAGTGCTCTTTCCTGAGCCGGTTTCCCCTGTAATGAGAGTCACTTGCGAGTTCTCAACTACTCTAGCAATTTCCTCTTTTTTAGACCATGCAGGTAGAGTTTGCCGAGCTGCATTCATCGTCCGCTGTGTTTCTGAGCTCTGACGGGATTTCCAAGCCTCGAATATGGCCTGGTTAGATCGGTTCTCCTTAGCGTGTGTTCTTTCTGTCATTCTCATACGAGTCGAATTGTTCGTTGCTTCATTCTGGGTCTCCGCGAACGACTTTCTCATCGGGCTAGGAGCTATCTCCAAATCACTGAGCCTTCCAGGATCTTCGATGATGTTTGGCATCGAGCTCTCTAGCCATTCCAATAAGTTGAATACCATCGAGTCACCGAGCAGATGTTCTTGGGCATATCTGACCGCTCTTTTGGTTGCACTCAGGCGAATGTAACTCGGTATTTCAGGTGCTTCGATTGAGACGACGGGTGGCCTGTTTGGATAACCGGAGGTCGGGCAGCGAAAGTGAAACGTGCCTGAGACATTCGAACTGGGGTCAGCTTGAATAGAGCATCGGTCTGGACCTGATAGCTTGAACCTCTCGTCAAGGATGGCCTCTAAAGCCGTCATTTCCTCAGCCCAAACGTGCGTGTTGCTTTCCGCCTCCACAACTGACTCGACATTGAACGGCACAAGTCGTGACTGTAGAGCCTCTGCTGCGAGAGTTTCATTTCCCTCGTTGTCGCGTAGGGCTTGAAGACATAGCTCGCTCGGATATCCTCCTTGGCTCAGTCGCTTTACTTTGGCATCCGTTGCAAGGTCGCTGGTAACGAGAGTGATTCCTGCATTGTAACCAGGAGGAAAACTCCACGTGGGTAGACAATCTTCGGGAACGTGGATGAGAAGCCACTCCAATGTTTCCTCCCGCGTGCCACAGTTTTCAAGAGCTTCTTGGATGTGAGAGGATTGAAAGCCAGATCGGGACAGATCAGACACAATAGAATCCCTATCCGTCTTGGAAATGTGAAGTCTGTTCTGGTTCCAGATGCTTCGGCACCTGATCATTGACTCAATCCGTGCCCGAGCCTCCGGTCCTAGCTCAAGCCGCGGTGCTCGATCCCACGCTTTCAACGTCCCATTATCAGATCCTGGTCCGATCAAACTTGATGATCCAGTTTTGGGAGGCTGTCTCGCTTCTTCCTCTTTTCGTTTCTCTCTGGCAGCCTTGATTTCTTGTCCCTTGGATTCTGCAGCGAAGGGGTCCGCATCATATTTCCATGCCCTACCATCTTTTACATCTTCTTCTTTCAGACGCTGGAACTCGCCTTTCCAGAGGTCACGATAGGTTGGAGGTAATGCCATCGCCAAGTTCTTCATGCTGGACACGCGAAAAAGAGCATAAGCTGCCGCGAAATGGCGGGCTTCAAGGGCTGTTGGCTGGTCTGCGAGATGGGCATGAGTTGCAGGAAGATGGAATGGAGGGAGTTTCGTAATAGACCCCGTCTTTGGATCTGTTCTTGACAACACAACCCACGACCGGTGAAGCTTTTCTCCACTGCTGCCTGAAGGGACTTGCCGACCCTGATACTCGGGCTTGTTCCATTTCTCTCGCTGGCAGTGCTCCGACAACAGGTTAACGGGCAATTTGCCGGTCCACGAAGCTCCTCCGATGATCTTTTTCACATCAGGTCGGGGTGGAGCTCCGTCAGAGTCTTTCTGATCCTGTTTCTTCTTTTCATTTTTCTGCTTAGTGAAAACTATATGATCACTGTCTGGAACTGCAGGTGTTGCTTTTTTGGAAGAGCTACTCTTGCCGGAGGCAGTGCCTTTCTTAGGTGCCATATGGATCGAATTCGCGAGGTGACAGCTTTACAAAGCGGCAGAAAGCAGCAGCTCAGGGCATGCGATATTTGCCAGCGACTGGCTTAGACAGCCCTTCCCGTCAGCACGATTCCAAGGACTTCAGCAATCGCGATGATTGTACAACGAAGCAGTATCACAGGCGGAGTGTCAGAGATCAGTGTCAGAAATCAGGTTTTGATATCGGGCACCTTGCCATGGTGGATTTTCATCTTCAGCCGCGATCCGGTGGAGGCCAATATTCAGAATGGGATCCTGTAGATCGAGTGAGAGCACGACTTTTGGCAAATGCTGTTGATGGCAAATGAGGCGAAAATTATGCCTCTTCTCGGAAGACCTGCCGAAAAAAACCCGCCAAGCGAAATCCTGACCAGGCTGTCATTCAGCCTTATCTGGTGGGAATCCCCTCGCCCCTTTTCGGCAGCCTCGTCCAGCATTGGACTGTCGAATTCCAGGCACATACTGTTGGCCCAAGAAACTCGTTGTACTTGCGTTTCCTCGAGGTAGTATCTGCATTATCTGCCCTAGAGCATGTGTCTTCCCTAGTGATTAATGACCCCACTCTATCACGCCGAGCAACGCGGCGGTTTCCCTCACAGTGTGGTCTCCGCCACATCGCTCTCCAAAGCAGAACACAAGCTTCGATGGTGATGCCCATGAGTCATTCCAATATTCCTACAGAAGACCGAGAGGAGGTCATCTTCAGCTTCCTTGTTTTTTTTTCTCCCGGTCACTCTGCCATGAATGCCGATTACTTTGTCATAAAATCGTGTGTTCTCGTCAATGATTCCCACCGAACACTGAGAAGCTCTAAAACTGGAGACAAGTGAATACTGACAACCGAGCCACAACATGCCTTCGATCTGATCATGGCACGAAAGCTCACCCGGCAGAGAGCCAATGATGGACCCTCAGCATGAAGACGTCGAAACTCCGCCATTTGTGCGGACGAGTGTCTGCCCTTTGGCGCAAGCTTTAAATAATGATTTGTTCGAACGATATTCTCCTCACATGCGAAGATAAGGAACGCTGTCGTAGAATGAAATCATTGTGGACTGAAGGACAGATGATGGTGCAACCGCATCTTCCAAGTTGAATCCTCTCTGGATTTCGGTCTCGACGAAGGCTGATGCTCTCTTGTAGCGTTTGTCGCAATATTTGTTGAACACTGCATTGTGATGTTTTCGCGGATCCTCACAACATTCCAGTAATAGATTGATCAATGGTTTGAGTTGGGAGTACGTGTAACTAGCATAGTAGACATGATGAGCGGTCTGTGTCGATTAGTAAGTGTGTAATATCCGTTTGAGGAGCGACTTACCCATGTGCCTTTCCGGAGCATGATGCGTGCGAGACAATGCGATGCCGCCGCTGTGAAGCTCGGGGGACTGCCGATGAAGCGTTCATCCATCAAGGTCACTTCAAGGAAATATTTAGCAAGCGTCCTCGTCTCCAGGTCATAGTCGTCAGCTTTGCTAATTCGGCGCAAGAAACTCATGGGGCCGGGCCAGCCAAGCTCGAATTGAAGCATGGTAAGCATGAACCGCTCGGCTTTGAGAATCTCATCCACACTGTATCCACCATCAACCATGTATACAATTTCCTGGACCGAGGGACAGTTGATCTCTTCATATTTTGCCGCGATGAAAATGGCCGTTGCACCGACAAGCTGGAGTTTGCCGAGAGAAACAACCTTGCACGACAGGAACCGGTCAATGTAATTAACGGTAAGAAAGAGCGTCTCCGGTAGCAAGTTGAACCGGAGGTGAACTTGGACAAGCCAATCCATCAGAACCGCACGCATGGACCACTGGATTTCGTGCTGGTTGTCCATGTAGTGGGCGTTGGGAAGCATCTTCACCTCGAGCTGTCTCATGTAGTCAAAGATCTCCTCCCCATATTCGGCAACCATGCTCGTATCGTAGCTTTCATCTTCCACCTCCTCAGGAGAACGAGTGGCCTCGACCAACTGCTTTGCCGCAGCAATCTCTTTGCGGGCACGTTGGTTCATCTGTGGAAATAGGACGGTCGTAGCTCCGCCAGTGGTGTTGTCACCGCGTGATCGGAATGACCTGGCGGTTACATAATCGTCCTCTTCGTAGTTATCGTCATCCTCTTCATCCCAGTATTCTTCCTGCTCGAGTCGTTGCTGAATGTAGGAATGGTGAGGACTCAGGGGAGGAATGTTATCGACAGGATTCACGACACTTGCCACGGAAATCTGTTGCGATTCCTTTCGAACAGCGGTAAGATGGGGTCCCATGAAGGGGGGAGAATCTCTGGGGAGAGGTCGATCGTAGAGCTGTTGTGAATGTTGCTGAGCGACATTGCCTGAGGCATTGCTGCCTGCATCTTTCACGTCTGTCTCGTTGGGCTCGCTCGATAATGCAGGACCTAGGTTTACACCTTCAATGCCAGGTAAGATGGTATCTGAATGCAACTCTTGAATGTCTTTCACTGGCTCAGAGGAAACGGCAACAGACGCCGGTGGAGGGAGAAGACAAAGCTGAGACTCCACTCCAGCATTCGCTGAGCTCGGGCGCTTCCCTGTTCCTATCACATGCCCGTTCAACGGCTCACTCGACGTAATTTCCGTCTCTTGAAGTACAGCAAGACGATTGTCTTTGAAGATGGTGGTATGGCGTTTGGTCAATGTCTTTTTCGTCGCGGCAGGCTGCAGTGCAACTAACGTTTCTGTAGTGGGATTTGAAGAGGCTTTCGATGTTCCATAGGTAGTTGCTCCAGCAAGAATGGTTTTCAGCCCTTTTTGGGCGGGCCGGAGCAGCGCGATAGACCTTCTTTGCTCGAGGGGCTGGCTAGGTTTCACCACAACCTGGAGACTTGGCTTGGTCTGGAGTGTCGAATCATCTTTGCTCGGTCTTCCAGCAACAATATTGCTCACGTCCCCAAATGCAGTTCGCTTCGCTGCGGCCTTGAGCCCTTGGGCTTCAGCAAAAGTAGTTGTAAGTGCTGGACTCGATTTATTCCGATGATGGATTGTTTTGGTCACTTGGCCTTCGGGAGGGACATTCTCGTCGTTTCTGACGCGTATTGGCCGCAGTGGGCGCTGTGGCTATCAGAGAGGTGTATATTAGCTCTGATGTTCCAAGACAAAGCAGTGTGGATAACAGTGTCGGCGCGGCAAACCGCGGATCGATAGCAAGTGAAGTGGGAGGTACGCAGCAGAATCATTCTTCTCACCTTTATGTCCATGCTGAGCAGTCTGAAGGTTTGTCACAGGATGTGGAAGTATTCAGGGTGCTCGGACTGGGAAGGGCGATTGGTTCGTGACGCCCCCTAGATTTTGCAAAGCGCGACGGAGTCGGGCACATTCAGTCGAAGAGAAGGGAAGGGAAGGAACAGTGTCGTGAGAGGGAGAGGATGGTCAAGGCCAGGCAGGAGTATCGATGCAGAAGCTATGGCTGTGGAAAGGAGCACAGCATACGGGTTGGTCCTGGCAACAAACAAAACAGCATTATTATTATTATGGGATTATGCAAGGTTAAGGAACTTGCATGTAAACATTATTGCGATCGGTCATTGGGCTTGCGTCCACGGCTCTTGCCGCCCTTAGCTTGACCCAAGCTACACTAGTCCATTTCCAGCCATATAAACACTTCGCGTCCTCTAAAGTGCTGCACTTTCAGCTTTTTCCGACTCTGACAGCGCCCCTCGGGGTAAATTAGGGAGCCAACTCGGTCTTCTGTACTGGTTAAGGTGGCGTAAGAGGATCATGTACATGTTTCTCCTAATCCATGCCGCAGGTTGTGGTGAAAATCAGAACAACTAAATTATGACGTCAACGCGTCGCGCAAATCGCGAGATCACGTGCGAAGCTGTAGAGACTCTCATCCAACACATTGATTAAGTCAATCTCGCATTCTCGTCATCCTATCATCAACGTGAAGAAGGCGTAAATTTAGTTGGTGCATCGCCAGTGGAAAGAACAGCCTACTTCAAATGGTCTCCCGGTAAGTGGCGAGGGCTTGCAGGGCTCGGACTTTCCTTCTAGGCGCTTACTCAATCCCCAACGATGTCATCGGACCGCAAAGGACCCAGAATACGGATGACATGCGAGGTTGTTTGATTCAGCACAGGATTTGCGCTGCCGGCGCTCCACGTTCTGTCAGGTTGGCCAGGCAATTCGGCGATATGGTTGACATTCAGAGCGATGCTGTATGGATGATTGGGAGAGGCATTCCGTCCTTGTGGGCAGACTAACCCACTAGGTTTCCCATGTCCTGTTTTGGTCGCTCATTGCGCTCCCATAGATGGGTGAGAGACTTGTCCAAAGAACACTTTCCAGAGGAAGCCCGAATTGAATACACCGCGGACATATGTGCGACTTTGAGATGCGACCAACCCGAGGTTTCGGAGTTTGTTGCGCAAACTCTGATTTTGGCGGTCCAGGCATGCCATTTGCAGAGCATGTGATGGCCCCAATCCCATTGATCCTAATTGCGCCGAATTGCGCTTACTACTGGCAGACTCCTATCTCGAATGTTTCAGCAACAGAGCGCATCAGTCCGACCCAACGGAGCACACCTGGGTCGCATCAGCATTGGGTCCTTTCCAGTTGGATGATACAGCCCATGCGAATGGAATGTGGGGGATGCGACCGAAAAATTTCGTTAATCTCAGGCAAAGCTAGCGAGCTGAAAAGTAATGCGACCTCGACCCTGACAACGACCACGATGACGCTTCTAGGAATAGTAATGGCACCCGGCCCGGAGGGTGCAGATCGTTGGACATGTACATACATATTATTATATCAATGCACAAGCACAGGTGCCGTCACGTTATTGAGCAAATTGCGCCTAGTCTGGGGTCGCCGCCAGGTCCGCCATCCCGCCAAGATCCTGGTCGGTATGGGAACTTGTGGTTGAAACATTGCAGATCGCGAAACGATAGCCATGTCGTTGCCGCCGTGGCGGGCTTGCAACGAGTCAAACCCTGATTTAGGACGACCTTTATCAGCGGAGCCCAGCAAGCCATTTGGGCATTTGGTCAAAAGGAGCGAGGTTGACAGTGGGCAAGGGCTGCACGGAGAACCCTGTGAAAAGGGAATGCATCCTGTGGCAGCCACTGCGGCAGCCCACGCTCGAGTGGTCGAGGGGATTGGTTGAGTGACGGCGACGGATGCTTGCGTGTTCTTGACGACGGCCTCTTGAACGGCCTCGAACGGCACCACCAGACTCGTTGCCAGTTGGACGCTGGACTCCACCGCCAATACGGCTCAGCAAAACTCACAGGTCGCCAGCCTACAGGCTCAGACCGCTGACGCTTGCTAATCTTTGCCATACAAGTAGTGGCCATACAAAGCTCGCCAAATCCGCTACCGCTCCGGCCGCTTTCTCGAACATCATTTCAATCAGCGAGCAGGTGAGGGGTTGGTCTTCTTTCTTATTCTCGCTCCTCCTAGCAAGTTAGTTCCAGCACATCGCCGGGCCAGGCTCGCCATTACTGTCCTCACTTTTCCGAACCCTCAGCTCCAGCTCCGCCCGCTGACTGCCTCATGGTTCTACCCTCATCGCCCACCCTCCGTGATTGCCTGGCCTCGGCCCCGGCCCATACAAAAATCAAGGCATGCTCTCAGCCTGCCAGTCCCGAATGGCCAGCAAAGACACCGCTTCGGGTTGTCACCTGGGCACCGTTAGCTCGTAGCTGGGAAGACAAGCCGTCACAAGATGGTGCTCATGAGCTACTGCTGAACTCGTTCTGGGAAAGTCGTAGGCGGTCGGGAAAAGACACGCAGTGGAATGTTCTATCTCGTAGTCACCGTACAGCAGACACTGAGGCATTCTTTGCATTTTCGCTCTTGTCGCCATCGTTGACTTCCTTGTCGCCATTAATTTGATTTGGGGTATATTTGTGACTCGTTCGGAATAAATCACCTTCTGCACAATACCAGGACACAGTACTCGGACACAGTGCGAAAGCCACGTTCTTGTGGTACGAGTACGTACTGGCGTTTGTTGGACCGGGGGTGGGCCACCAGGGCCTCGTTTCACACGCCCGTTGACTATTGCAGTATCCCAAGCCTCAGTCCTCAGGTCTCAGTCCGCACCTTGACTTCCTTTCTTCCCTTGAACCTCTCTCCTCCCACTACTTCTCATTTCCACTCATCTACCGCTTCGGGCGCCCGTCTGTGTGCCAGCGAGAGAGGCTCATCCATCTATCTTTACTGTCGTGCACTCTGTCGCCTGCCGGATCCCACCGTCACCGCTGCGAAACATCACTGCAGTCACCATGCTCTAGCCTCCGACGATGCCTTGACGGTAGAGCCGGATGCTGTTGCAACTGCCGTTGCGCTTCTTCTCTTCTATCTCGTTTTTGTCTTAGCATCATCGCAGGTGTTGCACTTGTCACCTGAAGCCTCGACTTATTGTAGGTTGCTCCAAATTGGTCTGGGGACTCGAGCCCATTGTCCTCGCAACCAACATTTCACCCTTCCTAGCCACCATGCTGAATTCGCCCACTCCTCTCCAATACCATAACCTATCGCTAGGTAAACAACAGGCTAATTATTCCATTCAGTGCCTCCCTCGAACGAAGAACGAGCCGGGTCTCCTCCATAAAACCTCCTTCGCCCGAAGCGAACCCTTGATGAGCCCTCCAACGGTGGCAGAGGTATAAGAAGACAATCACATATATCGGAACCATTGAGCGCTATGCATGTCTCTAGCCTGCTATCGGCCGACGACCACAAGTCTTCGAAGACAAAGATGCCTCCTGCCAAGTCCATCTCCTTCGAGCTCCTGCTGGATGAGGGCTCCAAAACAAGGGCAAGAATTCCTCTGAGAGTAGTGCTCAATACGCACGACAGCACGGAGTCTATCATTACCACAGTCAAGAACTTCTATGGCATATACGACGGGAATGGTGTGAGCTTCGAAGATGCATGGGGCAACACTCTCATTGCCTCATACGACAATCTCGGCCATAACTCTACCGTCTATGTGCGCATTGTGCCGGCTCATCAGGCAGCCTCGAATGCATACACACATGGCTTACATACCGGCGAGGGCGGCTACGAACCTAGACGTCGACCCAGTTTGGGCGAGCCCTTTCAGATGTTACCACCTCACATGCGCGAGCAATCCCACTCCCCCTCCAGGCCAGCTTCGAGAGTTGCTCGTAAGCGAAGCATTTCTCCAACCCAAGGGAGAGGTCGTCGAAGTGCGTCGCAGCAGAAAGGACCATCTTATGCGACTGCCAGTCGGGGCTCAAGCGCCAATGGAAGCTACCATGAGGAGAATGGATACAGTGACAGTGAGGCCGGGCGCAGCTCAATCTCGGGATCCAAGAAAGCTAGAAGCGAGCAATTTGCTAGCTCTGACATTAGTACCGCGAACGTCCTTCAAGATGGTCGACGTGGACAACCCATCTTTGACAGTTCGGTGAGTTCCCTGCTGTTACCTTCTCTTGGCTCCTCACTGACTTGAACTTCCAGACACTTCCTCTTTTTGTTCCTCCCCAGGTTCCAGTGACTGCTTCCCAGTCTTCCATTTCGCCTCAGCGACGTTCGCTCCCACAGGAAGGCCCTTCACCCCTGCATCCTCCAGGCCAGAAAATCTATGGACTACAACACGTCCCAGTGCTCTCTCCGCAGAGCTGTGGACCTAGTCCCAGTCCATTTGGTGTTGGCGACCGGGGAACGGGCGCTGAGGCGGTTACACCTATGCCCCAGCATGGTCACCGGCTGCGCGACCGATCTAGTATGCAGCAGGTGCATGGGAGACAAGGATATAACGGAAACGGAATCCTCCCGACCCCGGACCCCACCGTTGCAAGTTGTATCTCAGACGAGGACGTGGCACGTACACTCATTGCCTTGGGCGATGCATCCAACTACTCTCATGGGCGGACCTCCAATTCGACCATGGACGAGACCTTCAGTGGCGTTGCTGATGCAGCCTCATCAACTGGTGCAACAAGCGACAGTGATGAGTACAGCGATGCAGAAGGCGGCCTCCCCAAACATAGGAAGTATCTTGACGATGAGGACGAGGAGTATGCTCAAGACGGCAATAAGGGTGATCAGGAGGATTACGAAGGTCTGCCCAAAACCAAGAAGATCAAGACCAAGACACATGATGGCCCATCTAATGGGTATCGACCGAAGACGACTCCTTCAATGAAGCATGGGAAATCCTCTAAAGTTCGGCCAAACTCCCTTCCAAAGATTGCCAAGCATCCGACGCAGCCGGGGC